TGAAGGATCCCGTATTCGCGCTGTAGATGATGTGGTGAAGGATCCTGTATTCGCGCTGTAGATGATGTGGTGACGGTTCCTGTATTCGCGTTGTAGATGATGTGGTGAAGGATCCCGTATTCGCGCTGTAGATGATGTGGTGAAGGATCCCGTATTTACGCTGTAGATGTGGTGATGGTTCCCGTATTCACGATGTAGATATGGCGATGGTTCGTTTATTCACGCTGTGGATGATGTGCCAAAGGCCTATTCACACTGTACCTGGTACATATCTGTAATTCAGATTTGTCCTTGCTTCTGGATTGGTGCCACAGATTCTTCATCTTATAGTTAAATACTTGGTAGGTTTCTTCTTAGGCTGCTCAACGTATATACGCAACAGTATGTCTTTATTTGTTGTTGGAGGACTGGGTGCCAAAGAGAATATAAGTAAAGAGACTGTTTCTACCCACCTCCCATGGGACCATATACTCAAAACACTGCTGATGTGGGAAGCAGTGCCCTACTGATCACATCTCATGCTGCACTGGAGTGGCAGTTTGAATCACTGTAAGATTAGCATGTCACATTGTTCCTACACACTTAGTCAGTGACTACTGCCTCTATTAACATCACTGCAGCATTAAAAAAAAAACCCTACCAAACTTAATTAAAACTTTGGACAAGGAATGTAACTAGGATATTTTACAATCGAGGATAGATTGTTTTGGTAAATTAATTCATTGTATGGGTGCAGAAGAGACATCCTTTCATTTTCTTGTGAGGTAGCACCATCTAGTGGTTATTTTCAAAAGTGCATGTAATCGGTGGGGCCCTGGGGAAATGTAATAGCAGAAGATATGTAAACATGCAAACATCTCTGTCTTTCCAGCTAATTAACACTAAGTAATTGCATGCAAAATATGAAAAATTAAGCCCTGTTGCGTGCAAAATATGGAAAATTAAGTGCCATCTTTTCTCTGCAGGTGGGTCTTTTCTCCACTGGAGCTTTTAGGAAATTTGCCCACTGACCTTTCTGTGTTGTCTTCACCCCACAGCTTTCCACTGCAACCTTAGGCAGAATGGCATAGACCACCAGGTGTGCACAGAGGAAGTGACCTCACACCTGGAGGAAGAGTCTGTGCATCAAAACCCAGGCCTGAATGACCGAAGCCCCGGCTTCCATGACCCGAGGGGGAGTCCCAGACATCAGCAGGTGTCCGAAACTGATGGCACAAAGGTGCATCCCATGTTTTTCCATTTGCTTACGCCAGGCGGGTGGGGGGGCACATCGGGAATACCCTGGTCAGGATGCCAGTTCATGTCGAGGTGCATGCACACTTTGGGCAGTTTTAGAAATGCCAATTAACCTAGTTGCCTCCCTTAGAACTGCTGGAAGAAACTCGAAGAAGACGGGGCACACTGGGCACAGTCGCTAGGGTCATACTCACAGGGCACACGCACACGGGGCACAGTCGCTCAAGTTACACTCACGGGGTACACGCACACGGGGCACAGTCGCTAGGGTCATACTCACAGGGCACAGTCGCTCAAGTTACACTCACGGGGTACACGCACACGGGGCACAGTCGCTAGGGTCATACTCACAGGGCACAGTCGCTCAAGTTACACTCACGGGGTACACGCACACGGGGCACAGTCG